TGGGGTGTGTGTGTGTGTGTGTGTGTGTGTGTGTGTGTGTGTGTGTGTGATGGAATACTACTCAGGCATAAAAAAGAATAAAATAATGCCATTTGCAGCAACATGTATGGACCTAGAGATTGTCATACCAAGTGAAGTAAACCCAAAGAGAAATAAAAATTCCATATGATATCACTTATATGTGGAATCTTTTAAAAATGACACAAATAAACTTATTTACAAATCAGAGACAGACTCACAGACATAGAAGCCAAACTTATGGTTATCAGGGTGAGGGGGGAAGGGGTGGTGGAAGGATAAATTGGGAGTTCGGGATTTGTAGATACTAACTACTATATATAAACTAGATAAACAAGGTCCTATTGTATAGCACAAGGAACTATATTCAATATCTTATAATGGCCTATAGTGAAAAAGAACATGAAAACAAATATATGTGTGTGTATGTATGACTGAAACACTATGCTGTACACCAAAAATTGATACAACATTGTAAACTGACTATACTTCAATAAAAAAATTACATACATTAGGATTGTTTTACTTTTAATGCACTTCATGTCATTTTGCACCTTACTCAAGATGCTATGGAAAATATAAGGTCCATATCATCTTTCTGAGTACGCAGATTTACCTATAAGAACTAATGTTATTTACACAACAATTACTTATTGAGCACCTACTATGTGCTATGCATAATGGTAAAGACATTGCCCCAGGGGGCTGCCAGGCTAGAAAGAGGAACAGACAGCACAAATAAATGTATAATTTCAAATTTTGAGGCCAACAGTTGAAATGCATGTTTTCCATTCTCCCCCTCACTCTCATAGCATAAAACCCCCAAATTTTTAGTTGGGTACATGACTACACTTCCCAGCTTCCTTTGCAGTTACCTATGGTCATGTGACTATTTGCTGGCCAAAAAGAGGTGAGCAGAAGTGATGTCTGCAACTTGTGGGCCTCACTCTTAAAGAAATGAGGAGAACCCTTCCTGGTCCCCAATTTTCCTCCCTTCCTGTGGGCTGGAATTTCAACACAGTGTTGACATCTTGGACCTTGCAGGTGAGGGCAACCTCTGAAGGGTGACAGAACAATCAACTAGAAGGAGCCTGAACTTCCAAGAATTTCACAAAGCAGAGCCACCAAATGGGCCCAGACTCTTCCAAGAGAGAAGTAACTTTCTATCTCATTTAGGATACTGTACGTGGGGTCTCTGCCCCAACCAGCCCATCTTATAACCTAACTCTGACAAGCTTCAAAGGCACAGGGGATACCCTGAATATGGAAGTTAACAGGAGGTTCCTATGTGGGGCACAGGAGCGAGCATTCTGCAAATGAGGGAGCAGCAAGGAAAGTGAGATCTTCAGGGACGAGGCAGGTCAGGCCAGGAAGCACAAGATGAAACCACAAATAGGTCAACATATCAGGCTCTTTCTTTTGATGTCAAAAGCACACCAGAGGCAGCTTGAAGGGACTCCCATCAGCCAAATTTGGACAATTTTAAGTGTTAGGTAGTTAGATAAGTGGAGGCATCTGACAGATAGGTGGAGGTGAGGGAGGATGGTCCAGAAGATGGTATTATGCCCGCTTCCAGCATAAAGGGGCTTTACTTCTAAATGAGTGCCCGCAAGAAACTGGTTAAAACCCGACAGCCACAACTGTGTGGTAGCAGAAAGGACTTAACCAGACACAACACAGTGCTCATTGTATTATAATTAACATCGTGGTTTAGCCCATCCCCCCTCCACCTCCCATGGGTTTTTCTGTGTACACCATGGGTAAGGACATGCGCAAAGGGACCAAACATGACTAAGCATTCTAGGGACAAGAGCCATCAATCAATCAAGAGACCACCTCTAAGCGCAGGTACAAGAGAAAGGGGAGACAAAAACTGCCACTTTTCCTCCCGTGGATCAGCCTGCCTCCTGTTCTTGGAGGTGTACTTTTTCTTTTTTTTTTTTTAATAAATCTTTTAAAATTTTTCCCTACACAACGCATGTTCTCCTGACTGTAAACTTGTCTTTTGGGTATGACAAGAACCAGGGTCTTTACCTTTTCGGGTAACATAAGTATACAAAAAATTAATAGATTATAACACATCATTAGGAAAAAATTGATGAGTCAATCAAGTTAATATATGAAGAGTCTGACTCCATTTTTGACATCTGACTGCTGATGTTTTTCAAGCCCCACGACTCCCCTTCCCTTCTTCCCCACATTTGCGCAGGCTAATGAGAAAGCCCAGGTACCCATCTCTGACACCGACAGGAAGTTGGTACCAAGCAGGTCCCAGTTCACATATAAGAATCTTCACAGCAGTCTTAGTCCCTAATCACAATAAAACCGCAAGCCAGTAACCCTTTCTTGCTTTCTCAAGCCATTTTCAAACCTACTTAGGAATCTGTTCTGCCCTCCCCAGAAAGCATCACTATATGGGTAACAAACATACCCTGTTGGTGCATTTTTGGTATCATCAGTCTTGACATCAGAAGCAAATTTAGGGTGAGGGGGTCCAAACTGCTTCTGCAGGGTGATCACAATAGATGTAAGGGGAAGTTCTCATTATAAGAGAAGCCAGTAAGTCAATAAATATAGAAAGATTGATAGAATCAGAAACCACAACTTTGCAACCACCATTGTAATAATTAATTCAAGTAAGGAAGGTTAAGGAGCAAACATATAATCTCAAACTTATTAAATACAAATTGGTGTTTATGTTGGGAGGGGGCTTCCTTTAAAATGGAGAATCTAGTGGACACCCCCTTATTCAAGCGATCAAATGTAACATCACCAATGGTGGGACAAACTGACCTCTTGTGCCTCCTATTAGGATGTATCTGGAAGGATTTAACATCATCTATTTTACTATTCATGCCAAAAAAGTTGAATTAGAATTTAATCATAAGGAAATGATCAAACATAAGTTGAGTGTAAGGATTTAGTGGGGAGAAGCAGGTGTCTGAAACTTACACTCAAATGTTGTTTTTTTAGTGGAAGTACTGGGAATTGAACCCAGGACCTAATGCATGCTAAGCCTGTGCTCTACCACTGAGCAATACCCTCCCCTACACTCAAATGTTTTATCAAAAAAAGTTTATATATATATATATACATTATATATATGTAGAGAGAGAGAGAGAGAGGGAACAAACATGGCAAAATGGTAGCAATTGATCAAGGTAAAGATATAAAACCAAACCAAAACAAATGAAACAAAAAGGTAAGCTGGTACAGGGGTTTGTTTATTCAAAAAATAACTTTCCAGAGGCCCAGAGGAAGGTCTGAGAGAGAAAGGACCTTGCCACTTCACAAACCATCCTGTGTCTGCTTGTTCAGCAGCTTCCTCTATACCCACACTTGTCCCAGGCCAGGAACAGGGCTTTGTTCAAAGAATTATTTGCAGAAAATCCTAGGATTTGGCCCCATCCTCTCCACTCTGGGAAGAAAGGCTGGTGGAGCTCTCAGTAGTGCTTCTGTGGGTTGGGGGCTGAAGTCTGGGCAGATAGGCCTGGTGACCCCTCCCTCCTGGGTTTCCTCCTACCTCATTCCTCACTTCTTAACTGTCTTGCTTTTTTAGCTCTAAATGTGAGATTTCCGTGGAGCTCTGTCCAAGGCCTTCTCTATTCTAACTCCCTCCCTCCATCAGAGAATTCTTTTACTCCAATGAAATATCATGAAGTATCCCCAGAGCCATTCCCGTCCCCAACCTCAGATTCATTCATATATCCAATTGCAACTGCACAGCCACACTTGGATGAATCATACCCATCTCAAATTTAATATGTCCAAAATGGAATGTTCCAATTTTCCCCAAAAATGGTTCTATCCAGTCTGCCCATCTCAGTAAATTGTACCTCCATCTACCCATCCTATAAGTTCTCCTTCAAACTACAACCTAGATCTGTCCACTTCGCACCATCAACTCAGCCATCATCACCCCGCAGCTGGATTGCTTCAGTAGCTTTCTAATTCATCTTTCACTTCTACTCTTAAGCCCCTGTAGTCCATCTTCCCCACGGAAGGCTGAGCAATCTTTATTTTTTATTTTGGGGGGAGAAGGAAAGATTTATTACTTACAGCAAGGAGAACACCAGGGATCTTTCTCAAAGCAGTGTCTCTGAATAATCTTTATTTTAAAAACATAAATCAGAGCAAGTCACTCTCCTGGCTCAAAACACGTCAATGTTTTCCCATTGCTCTTAGAATGAAAATGCAGATGCTTCCCCGTGGAGACCCTATGCCATCTCCTGCTTCACCTCTCAGCCTCATCTCAGCCCCACTCACTTGCCCTACCGATCAAAATTTAGATGTCAGATTGTCTTCTTTCTTTGTTTATTGGCAGTTCTCCCCTTTCCACACACACTAGCATGGAAGCACCATACAAGTCGAGTTCGCCACTGGATCTCCCACACCTGCTAGGCTAGGTGCTCACACATATTTGTTGAAAGAATTTATTAATAGACAAGAGATTTTTCTGTTTTTAAATATCCTTACTTGGCAAAAAAAAAAAAGTCTGTCAATTCTGTGTGGTTTGTCATGTTACATAAACGTTTATAAGTTGAGGACTATTGTAATAGATGAACTGGCCTCAATGGTCCCTACAACACAGTTAATTAAATGATAGCAGGAGAGGGAGGAAGAGAAGGGCAGTGGCTGTGGCTGGATGGGTGGCTGGATGGGTGGATGGATAGGTGGATGGGTGGCTGGCTGCCTGCATCGATTTTTTGGATGAGGGAGTAGGTGGTTACATTCTGGGAAAGCAAACCCAAGGTGCTGAGACCTCGGTTCCGTGGGATGCCCATCTTGCGGGGTCATAGAGGGGTTACTTCAGGACCTATGGGGCACAGTGGGCAAGCGGTAGTCCTGTGTGTAAAGCAGCACGACCCTCTAGGTCCCCACCCAACACAGGCACATGCGCTCCAGGACTCGGGGTCGCGCTCAGCTGCGCCCCCTGCTGGGGTGCCTGCAGCAGGATTAGTGCGCGTGCGCGCAGGTGAGTGTCCCGCCCCGCCCCCGGGCCTGGCCACCTGCCGGGGAAACTTGTGGATTGTTGCCCTCGGGTCGCTTCTGGGCGGGGACGCTGAACTGGGCTATGGAACGTCCGTCGGGGACTCGCGAGCCCCGGGCCCAGCCGAGAGAGCGGGACCCAGACAGGCACCCCCGCTCGGACCGAGACCGCCACCCCGAGCGAGAGCGGGACAGAGCCGGGGACCGGCGCAGGGAGAGAAACGGAGGCGGGCGGAGGGACGGGGACCGGGACAGGGAAAGGGACCGAGAACCCCGCCAGGACAGACACAGAGCCGGGGACCATCGCACTGGTGAACAAAGAGTTCGGG